TATTGTGTTTGATTTCTAATCTGATAAGTAAAAGTTTCTTAATTTTGGTATAACCCACAATTGAATAAAGCAAAGTATTTGCTAGGAGTTTTCTTATTGGAAGACCAATCTCCTCTACCATAACTTCGACATCATGCACATAGAAAAGAACATATTTAATAATATTTTCAATATAGTCATAGACATGAAGGGAAAGACAAAGGACAACATCAAGGCTAGAATGGGTATATCATTATTTTATCATCATAAAAATATGGACTTGGTTTATGCTGGATCATGAGTCACAAAACTCAAAGCAAGTTTTACCTTAGAAAAAAATGCATAACTACTAATCTATCAATAACTTAAGAGTATGCGTTTTCTTGATGGACATGCCCTGAATATATCAAGGTTGGTTAATTTAAAAAATTGTAAATTGTATGAAATGAAGAGTCATGACTGGCACGTGTTTATACAAACACTCATTCCATTAGTTTGTCGAGATTTATTGTCAAATGAGATATAAGATGCACTCATGAAGATCAATCATTTCTTTAAAGATATATACTCTAATAAGTTGCAGACACAGGTCATTGAGAGGCTTGAAAAGAATATCGTTTAGACAATATGCAAACTTGAGATGATATTCTCTCTATTATTTTTTGACTCAATGGAGCATCTACCCATATATTTACCGTGTAAGGCAAAAGTTAGAGACCCAACCTAATATAGATAGATGTACCCAGTTGAGAAGTTAGAGATTATACATGCATTATAATTAAAAATATATTTTCATTGTTTAATTCTATACAGATTCTTGTTCAATTTTAAGATAAAAGAATAAAGACAAAGCACATATTGAGGCTTCAATGTGTGAAGCCTATATTGTTGAAAAGATCTCAATATTTATCTCATATTATTTTGAGTCTTAATTAATAACAATAATCAATTGTGTTTCAAGGCATGACGATAGTGGTGAAGTGCATTCGAATGAAAAGTTGTCAATATTCTTAAATCTTGGGCAATCCATACCAAACAATATTGTTAAAGAAAGATATTTATCTAAAAAAAAATTCAGATAAGCACATAATTATGTGTTATTTAACTGCGATGAACTAAGACCTTTTATTTAGTAAGTACACTTAAGGGTAAGCAAAAAAACCAAAAAATTGATTAAACCAATAAAATCTAAAAAAACAAAAATAATCAAAAAACTCGAACCACGAAAAAAACCAATTAAATCGATTAGAATATTTAAAAAAACTAATTGGTTTGGTTTGGTTTCATAAGTTTGAAACTGAAAAACCGAACCGAACCAACCTGAAATTAATAACTGACCAAAACTGAAACCAAACCCATTAGAAATTACAAAAGAAATCCCATAAAATAATATAGTTTTTGGTTTTTAACATAAAATAATCGAACCGAACCAGAACCAATTGGTTGGGTCTTGGTTTATGTTCTAAAATAACCGAACTAAACCAAAATCAGTCAATTTGAACTGATTTCAGTTTGGTTTTAGTTTTAAAAAAACAAAAATTCAATTTGATTATTTTTAGGTAAAGACCAAGCTGAAAATGATCACCCCTAAGTACACTACTTAAACTTTATTATTAATGGACTATTTATTTCTTATAATATCACAAACTCATACATTGTTGAATACCTTATAGGAAACATCGTCAATATTTACTGTTTAAAAACTCACAGCTAACCAAATCTGAAATCTTTCAATTACAAGATGAACAATTTATCACATAGTTCAGAACGAATATCAGTATTATCACAAACTCGTTATCTATCGGGATACTTAATTTTGTTTCATATTTCTTGTTCATTGTTGTAATTTACAAAGAGTTGAAATAAAGTTACTCCAAATACCATGGTTAATCACTGACGGAATAATTTCATTGGTATATTTCAACAGACAAATTTTTTTACATGCATTATACGTTTGTAAAACTATCAATTTTATTTTTTTTGTTAATGGACTTGTTGACAAACCAGAAATTATTGATGAGGTTTTTCCCAATGACCATATTTAATTAATGAATCTGTCAATAAAACACGCACTTACAAAGTGGTAGGGTAAATATCAACATAATATTTTATCGGTAAAATTGTTAAATGTAGCAATGAAAGGAGAGAATTCTAAAAGGTTCAGGTGAAACATTGTTTAAAAAAGTAAAGAAAAAAATTTTAAAAAAAAACTATATAGTATATTTGTACTTACATGATTTTTTATCATGGTATGAAAATAAGTGTTAATATAAGAGGTTGAATTGATTATTAAGAATATATATATATATATATATATATATATATAACTGTTTTAATTCAAACTTTAGGTGTAGAATCTAAGAAAATGAACCAAATTTGTCTAAATACATCGAGTTTATATTAAGCATGTCTTTAAGATTATTTTAAAAATGATTCATGCACCATTTATTTTTTTAGAATGTAACCTTTAGTTGCATTTAAAAATATATATATACTTAATGAGATATTTTTAATTGATGAGGTGTAACAGTAAAATAAATCTCGCTAATCTACTAAAAGGTGTGTTAGTTTTTAATTAACACATAAGTTGATCCCAAAAGGAATTTGTTTCATTAATAAATAAATTCAAACTTATTTGATGAAAAAGGAGTATGAGGGTAATCTGCTTGCTTATTAGAATTTTCATACTAGTGAATCGATGATGCCTAGGATGCTTCTTGCACCCGCATCATGCAGAACGCCCACTATAATTTGCAATGATCTCTTTCTTAACTTGTACTCTCACTCTAAATCATGCTCGTACCTTTCTCTACAAGGAAAGATACCTCCCCATTCCACTAAACCCAAAAGCCCGAAATCAATAATTTTGCTAGCTCGAGAAAGTTGAGGACCAGCCAATCTCGTTCTCTCGACAAGGAAGTTTTCTGGGATAAGAATGATGCTACTTGGTATGAACTTGACCGGGTGGACACATTTATCCCATTATTTAACCAATATCTGTTCTCTTTTCTGCTTTTTTCACCCAACTCTAGGTGTAGATTACGAGTTCTAACTCTGTTTAAAATAAGATTTGATTAGTAGACTTCAATTCGATGTTTGATAGCATTTGGTTATTATTTCGTTTTGGTTAAAAAAAAGGTAATGGTTTCCTTTCGACTGGTGTAAGGGTAACCGATTCGACTTGCCGGGCCGGGTTAACTCTTATAACATTGATCTGATGGTTAAGTTGATTGTTAAAAGAATGGAAGCTGGTGGTGGTGATAAACAAACGCGGGTATGTTGCAAGAGATGAAAGGTGCCAGGAAGTGGAAACTGCTGGCAATTACAATATTCATGGAGAAATGGGAGGAAAATCTTTCAAACTGCTCTCGGAACTCTCCAGCTTCAGCACCTTGAAACTTGGCAGGTTGTTGCTGTAGGTATATAGTTGTGAGGCATGTAATCGGCAAGCTTGTAGGCAATAATTTATAGGCAAACAAATATCAGTAGGCAAGTAGAGTGAAAGAAAATTTTATTTTAGTGCAATTCTATAAAAAAGAAATTTAGGAAAATGCTAGAAGTCATTAACGAAAGTGCGAACGAAGATGGGTGCATTTCACCCTCCAAAACCAACCCTAAGAAAATTTTTCGTTCGGCCTTTCCCCGTGGAATGCAAACATCTGGAACCTCGACAATTTGTGTAGCATGTGTACATTTCCTTTGCTTGACTATAAAATTTCCGTCATGAACCGAACCAACAAGGTGTTATTCTAGTCAAAACTCAGATCCAAAATTTGACTTGGTTCAAAGTTTCGATTGCAGGTTGGTTAATGTAAATCAGCCTAAATTTTATTAAAAATAATTTAATTTTTTTCACCACGATTAACATGTTAAATTGAGTCTTATGACACTGCTTCAAAAGCCGTATGTGGTTATTTTTGCTTTTAAAGCAATCATAACAAAACAAATGTTCAGTCACATAAAAATTAGAATTTATTTTTTATGGGCCATCATAATAATTCATGTTTGTAACGCAATTTTAGCAAAGCAACTCCTAACTATTTGAAAATTAGAATTTATTTTTTATGAGCCATAATAATAATTCATGTTTGTAACACAATTTTAGCAAAGCAACTCCTAACTATTTTTTTTCAAATAGTGTCTTAGTAAATAATGGAAGTGAATTGCACTAAACAGTGTAATTTATTTTTTTTTGTATTGTTCACATGAATAGTTTTTTTCAATGTATTTATTTTTTATATATTTAAAAAAAAATATATAGTTTAGAGTAAATTAAATTCACTCATGCTGTCATGTGAACAATATTTTTTTTCCTGAAAAACTAGTGTAAAGTAAATTAAATTCACTCGCACTATAATATCAATTTATTCTTGATAATATTTTATCTAATTTTATTACAAATTCAAAAAATTATAAAAATTGTAGTTCTTGTTAAATGAATTTTGTACGTAGTGGAATTGTAAATGGTTTAATGGAATAATAAAAAATATTTTATATAAAATATTATTTATTTCATGATATTATAACAATAGTTAAATTCACAATATTTAAATTAAAAATTATCAATATTAATATATATTTTTTAAAATTATTTTATAACCTCAATTTCAAAAATATTTTTAACTAAATACATTAAATTATTTTTTATTCAACCACAATTTTAACCAAATATTTATTTTTTTTAAATTAATTCCAACTAAAAATATTTTTTATAAAATAATTTTTTTAAAATAACAGTATCATGCCTACACGCAGCCCAAACACTGAGCATACAGGTTACGCGATTGCCTACAATGCTACGACCCCGGACCATTGTACTGCTTCACTAAAACTGGCCACAGACTAATTCTGTTTCAGCTTGGGGATGAATATGAATATCTTAAAACTTCATTTCCATATTCTGAATCCCACTAGTGTCATGGAGAACATCTCCTGGAGAAGCGCGTTTGAAAGAATGCCATATTGTGGCGGTGTTGCAGCACATATTTACTATACTCACCGCCATGAAGAACATCTCCTTGATCGTGAAAATTTGTACGCATTTCCCAGATATTTAACTACAGTTGTAAACAAAGTCTACTCGAGCCATGCAGACAACTGTGGCGGTGTTGCAGCACAATAAAAGTACCAAGAACCTCGAAGCACCAAAATTCTTTTCCATTACGAGCATACAGCTTGATTTGAATCAAATGCTATTTGGTCGTCTTTGAACCAATAAAACTAAAAACCGCAACCGCAAACATTTCCAGCACAAAAACCAACCTACATATGCAGGCACAAGGTTTCTAAACCATCCTAGAACAGCAGCTGAAAATCATCTGCCACATTGTAGGAAAAGTGCTAGCTGCACTGTCATTACATTGTAGGAAAAGGGCAAGTTGCACTGTCATTCACACCATTGAAAAAAGGAACTAGCGCTTGGAACCCAAACCCATTCACGCACTCAGACCGTGTGCCACAACAAAGGGTCTAATTACTTGTAGCCAACATGCTGCATTCATTCTGACATCTTAAGCTATGATTTGACAACAAGAAATGTGCTTGTAAATTAAAAGGCCTGGGACATCGAGATCCATTGGCAAACAAAGGAATTTGAAATTACCTAAATCATTCAACATCTTAATGAGTAGAAACTAAATAACCACTCGAGTTTAAACAGATTCAAGCTTTTTAAACAAAAAATAACACTCTGGAATCCATAAAAACAGAATCCCCAACAAAATTGTGAGCTAGCTAGAGCCTTGGAACTCAGTACTTAACAGGTGCAAGGATATCTACTTGGGGACCAAGTTTTTCTTCTGCAGTTGCCTCAGCCTTTGCCCTGAGCTTGTTGAGCTGTTTCTTCCTTTCATATCTAACCTGGGACCTCTCCTTCCTCTTTTCCTCCAGCTCCTGTTGAGTGATCAGACAAAAAGAATTACCCATCAAATTCCAAACACTATTTGAGAGTTTCACAAGAAACTTCAACAAGAAAAAACATGAAGACATTCAAATAACTAAAGAAAATGCATAGCTTGCAGCATGGCAAGATAACAACTAGCAAACATGATATTGCTATTTCCTAACGAACCAGTACAGTAACTGTTAACTTATGGAATTTGGACACTCATTAAACACCCATGACACAAATTAGAACAGACTAGTAAATATTCATTAATAACAAAGCCCAATCAATAATCTTTCGTGAATAAGGGCTGAGAATTAAAGAGATTTTGCAGTTTGTTCTTTTTATTCAATTTGGGGAGGGGGGGGCAACAATCCATGGCTATAAAATTGTAGATAACTATCCCCTTCCCATGAATACTTCCATACCTGATGAGGGCTAGATTTGAACCCAAGTTGCTTGATACCAAAACTAGCAACTTGACATTAAATGCATATCACATCGTTCTTAAGCAAGAGTTCTTTGCATATAACAGAGAAACAGTAATAATAAACATTCCAAGAGAAAACATGTTATGGGTAAATTATATTCCCAAAAAAATGAGGCACCAAGTTTCTACAATCTACAAAAATAAAACAAATATTAAAGCATCAACTTGGATCCACCAATCTGTGTATACACAAGCGATAAACTAGAGAAGAAGTAGCATGTGTGCTTCGAATTAAATAAACTGGTATAATTAAATACAATAAGCCATGAAGCAAATTCAGTACTTTGAATAGGGAAAAAAAGTATAATCCTAATTCATTCAACAATAAGATCATGGTCAGACAATCTAAGGAAGCTAAAACTTACCCTGATGGTGTCATAGTGGTTCCATCCAACCTCAGATGACAGTTTGCCCAACAAGCAGTACTTGTGACCCTTCTGAAGCCTCAACACCCTAATTTTCAAAAACAAAACAAAGAGCGATCATATCAAATAATTCTATAAAAAACGCTTAGTCTCGATACATTTAAAGAGTCATACTAAGCTAAGACAAAAAAAAAACTCACTTAAGAGCATCAGGGATAACCATCCTCTTCTTCTTGTCATATGGAGGTGGGATTCCCTCATAAGCCCTCAATCTTGCAAGTGCTGCCTCCCCTTTCTTAGTCTTGTGTGGTATCATTCTGTCAGAATACCAAAAGAAAAAAAAACTTTAAAATCGAAACGCTCAAAGACAGCTAAAACAACCTAAGCCCACATTCTTAAGCACCAGAATACTCATTGAAACATCAGCTAGACAAGCCATTTCCAACAAAACAAACATATCCGAGGATATATATATATATATATATATATATATATGAAAACAGAGTCAAATGGGGAGAGAAAAACATGAAAAGGAACGGACCCCCGCACGGTGCGCCAGAAGATCTTAGCAGGAGCGCGGAAGTGGATGGGACCATGAGAAGGCTTGGTGTTCATGCGCTTACGGAGAAACCTCAAGTACTTCATCTTCTGTCTCACAAGCCCACCGGACATACATATCTCCTCGCACCTAACAACCACAACTTTCTGGCCGTTCAAGAGCTCCTTGGCAATGATAGATGCCAAACGCCCAAGCATGTGGTGTCTCGCGTCCACCACTACCACCTTCGCGCAGACTCCTGATCCTGACACCATTTTTGCCGCCTCCTCTCTCTCGAAGGGAGTTGATTTCGGTGGTGAAGGAGTATATAACTGAGGGTGCCTAGGGTTTTTGAAGTTAGGGTTATCGAGTGAGTGTCGAGTGATCTGGGCCCAAAGTAGGAAAGCATGAGCTCGTTTAACTGATCTGGGCCGTCTCAAATGTGAGTATAATTGGGGTCAAGAAGCCCATAACTTTGCTCGTTGGAGGAGGAGGTAAGCCCACGAGCTACTAAAATCGGTTTTTTTATTAAAAAAAAAAACTAGATTATTGTGAGAAGTAACGTTTAGTAATGGGGTTGAAATTGTAACTAGATTATTGTGAGAACTGAATTGAGTAACGTTTAGTAATGGGGTTGAAATTGTATTTTTTTAAAAAAATTATATTTTTTTAAATTATTTTTTCATATTGATGAAAATAAATTTTTAAAAATAAAAAATATATATTATTTTAATATATTTTCAAGTTAAAAACACTTTGAACCAATCACGATAATTATTACATTCCTAAACACCCTTTTAAAAAAATAAATTATTAATTATTTGGTCAATTTGGTAATTATTTAGTCAATTATTTTTATTCAAACACTAATATTTTATTGTTTTATAAAACATTAATCCATTAAGGTTTTAACTGAATTTAATTAAGTAGATCAAATTAATAAAAACTTGGTTAAGATTAAATTTTAGATTCTCAGATTTTTTAGTTAACTTATTATGGATAATAATTATATCTAAAATTGGATTGCAAAATCCTAAAATGATATATATATTGCACATACGTTATGTAGATCATATGATAGAATTTTTTTTTATTTGGTGCTTGGCTAGAAACACCTTAGCTTTCTTATATTAATATAAAATGCTTTACGATTTATTTTACTAGTATCAATTTGGTCATTGGTTGCTTTAATTATCAAGGGATTCGATTTAAAAATAATTAAAAAAACAGAAGAACATGGATCCAATTTAAAAAGTCATTGTTGCTGTCATGCTCAAATGATTTGAGCTTAGAATATAATTATTAAACCCAGTATGCTTCCTTAGAATAACCCAGAAGAAAATACAGCTTAAAGTCAAATTCGGATTAGATTTCAAGTGGAATCGGTTTTGGTATTAGCATGATAAAACTTAGTTTTAAAAATAACTAAAATAATGTTATTTTAAATTAAAAAAATATAAACTTGAATTGATTTAATTTAATTTAATTTTAAAAATAATTAAAATAATATTATTTCGGTTAAAAATTATAAATTTGGATTAGGTCAGTCTAGCAAGCTGATTATTTTTTCAAATGCATCCGAAGTTGGTCTAAGTATTAGCCCCAGGTTTTCGAGATGATTTTTTTAAAGTATTTTTTAATTTAAAATAATTTTTTATTTTTATTTTTTATTTTATATATCATATATTAAATCATAAAAAATATAAAAAATTAATTTAATATTTTTTAAATTAAAAACACTAAATCACATTGCCGAACACATCTTTACTCTGCAAAAGCCTAATTTTGCAACGATTTTTAGTCTAAAACGATTTTGAAGGAGATTAGGATTATGAACTCTTTAAGATTTTACGTTTTTGAAAAGGGACTTAACAACCATTTGTACTTACCATTATTATTATTGTTATTTTAAAATTAGAGACTTTAAATTATTGATGACGTTACATTGCACCATCCTTATTATTCTTATTGATTATTATAGGATCTGCTATTATAAAATCGGCAAAAAATGAAATAGAGAAGGTGAAAAAAAATGAACATCAAAGTTTGAAAATAAAAAATAAAAATATATTAAACAATAAGTATAGAAATAGTGATTCAAGTGTATGGTACCGAGATGCATGGTGATTTTAAATTTAAAATAAATTAAAATTAAATTATTTTTTTATTTATTTTATCTTTAACACTAGCAAATTAAAATTATTCGAAAACAAATAAAAATATTTCAAGTGAAAAAACAATTTAAAAAGCATATTACAATATAAAAACAAGCACTCGTGTGTCGCTTTCCAAGGCTCGACATTTCAAATTTATACTAAAAAATATCAATAAGATTATTTCTTTCCAATCTTTTCAAATGTTGTTCTTATTGATAAAAGTTATTCAATTTAATTCAGAAATGTTATTTCCTAACAACTGCATGGATGGCTGGATCCTCCTTCTGGCACTATGGGGCGCATAGAAACTTGAAAGAAAAATTCAATTATGCTGTCTCATTGCGTCGGAAACCTATTACTCTAACAATTATTGTTCCATAAAAGACAACTATTTAATTTTAATTAATCTTGTCTTGAACTTGTAGCTGGAAAACCTAAGATTGTGCAATAGAATATGTGGTTGTTGTGTTAGCAGACCATGTGTTCGACAATGGCGTGCTTGTGTATATCATGTCGCTAAACAACAACGTTGGATGCATGAATATCGCAAATTGCGTTCTGATGACTGAAAATCTTTGAATCAAGAGGGAGGGAGGGGTTGTTGGATTATGATGGTAGAAAAAGAATTGATATTGATTTATATCTCTCAAATGGTCAATGTTCATGTCAAATAATTTTACATGTTGAATATCGCAAATTGCGTTCTGATGACTGAAAATCTTTATATCAAGAGAGGGAGAGGGGTTGTTGGATTGTGGCGGTGGAAAAAAAAATTTTATTGATATCAATTTATATTTTAAAATAGTTGATGTTTGTATAAAATAATTATATATAATAAAAAAATTCATATTAGATATTTTTAAATTTTAAATTTTATAAAAAAATAGATTTGAGTTCGATTTAATTTTTATTTCAAGTTGATTTTAATTTTTAAGATGGTTGTATTAACTTTTTAAACTATATATATATGTTTGTCATGATTCTTTTAAAGTTTTTGATAATAAAAAAAAAAGTTGGAAAAGAGGTTTTTGTTTGGGTCAAAAATGACTCATGCCTTGATTTTCTAATTACTGTAGTGCCCAGAATTTATGTAAATCAAATGATGTATTATCTAATTTTTTTAAAAAAAAAATTAATATACAACATATCATCCACTCCAATTAAAAAAAAAAAATTAATCATATGGCCCTGATAAGATGAGCTATGTGGGTTAGCTTTACTTG